CTCCTCAACATGTCTTGAAGTTCTCCAGAGGCCTGGTAATGAGCTAATCATGCGATTCAGGTGTGTTGACCCAGGGTGAGACCTAAAACCTGCAGGGACACCGGCCCTCGTGGACTGAGATTGGGGACCCCAGGTCTAGATTCTTCCCACATTATTTTGGAATAAAAGTGCCACGAAACTTGAAGCTAGAAGCTGTTTTGGACATCTGCTGCCATCTTGTGGCTAAGATCTGAAATGTAAACGCTTCAGACTACTTTCTAATCTTAAACAGGTTTTTAATGTGGCTTTGAAATTTTCTCTCTTTCAGCCATGTTCACCTCCACGTGATCAGCCAAGACTTTGACTCACCTTGTTTAAAGAACAAAAAGCATTGGAACTCATTTACAACAGATTACTTCATTGAGTCTAAGGGTAAGAACAGTTCTAGTTTATTTTTAACACCTGCTTAGAAATAATTTGGCTTTAGAGCAAATCATTTATACTGTGGACTCAAAATACTTTGTGTTTTTCTTCCTGCAGATGTCATTCAGATGCTTGAAACTGATGGAAAAGTCACTGTGAAAGAAGGCACCAGTGAGTTGTTGAAGCTACCTCTCCGCTGCCACGTGTGTCGCAAAGAGCTTCCCACTATACCGGCACTGAAGGAACACCTGAAGTCTCATTTCTGAGATAACAATGTGACTGTAACTCATGCTCATGCTCTGGGTTTTCATGGATCACATATCTCATGTTAACTTTTTTTTTATAGTATAGATTCATTCTTTTGTACAATTTTAAGTTCCTGTAGCTTCCATAATTATTGGCCTGATTACAAATTCCAAAGGTCTTCAATGTTTGTTGCTTTTTCAGCTTTTTAGGGTTTTCCAGTTTAATAGGAAATTGAGTGTCAAGCTACAAAACGTTCAAGGTAAATGCCATCAGTGTAATGCAAGGTCATGGATTTCATTTAGTGTTAATACCATTTCAAACATGTTAAAATATTTTGCAATAAATATTTTCTAAGAACTAAATACTGCCTATATCTTTTCAATTAAAGTTGCCTCTTTTAAGTCCTGCAGTGCATCAAGTTTAGACTGATTTTTAATGCAGATTTACAGAAAACAAAGGAAGCTGTCGATGTATTGTACTGGGAATGCATTAACTCGCTTTCAGAGCTGGCACAGCTGCCACAGAAATCAACATTTGTTTCAAAAAGTATAAAAGAAACCTTTCGAACTTACAGGTTTTTATATAAGGAAAAATAGCTTGCTGGAAAAAAACTGTACTGCTTTGATGTGTTGAAATAGTAGCAGACAGTCAAATAACACATTGGTACTTGGGAGAACTTTTTGTACTTTTTCTTTGCTGCTATTACAGTACTCCTTTAGCAAATAACAGTTAAAGCTTGCTCAGCCACCTACTGCTAATAC